AAGAATTTAGAAAGAGAGAGCTAGAACTTGTTTGGGGCCTGTTTGATCCTAGGAGGTCGGTTCCCAGTTGGAGCCGACTGCTGACCCACGCCTCACGACATGAAGCGTGGAACTGTCGCTGGTCTGGCTGGCTAGGAGCTGCACCGTCATGCGGGGCCCTGCGCTCAGGAAGGCCCTGAGCTTGGTTGCCGTCTTGAAATTTCGGATAATTTTCTTTTTGAACCTGTGTTTTCTTTTTTAATTTTGTTATTTTATTTTTTTTTAAGAGAGGGAGAGGAGTGGGGAGAGAGAAGCAGAGTCCACTCTGAGCATGGAGCCTGACACGGGGCTTGATCTCATGACCTGAGCCGAAATCAAGAATCAGATGCTCAACTGACTGTGCCACCCAGGGGCCCCGCACCTGTGTTTTGTAAATGAAGTCTGATGGGACCGTGGAGTCAACACGTGGGCAGAGGAAATCCCTGCCACATGCGTGCCCGCCTTCCTTGCTGCCCATCCGCAAACATGTTCCCAGGGCCCGTGAACACACAAGTCCAGGTGGACCCACAGGGTGTGCGAGTCATCAAGGCTCAAAGGGATTGAAGAGCAAGCGTATCATAACATTGATGACTAACAGCCCCGAGAAGCCACGCTTTCCATTTGAACCAGAACTTGGCTTCAAATGCAGTGAGAAACTTGGACAACAAGGAAACCTGCTTATCCCTCCTTATGCCGCTGCCCTGCGTTGGCTTCTCACTCAGGCTGGAAAGAGCAGGAAGGACAGAGGAAGTCAGACCAGCCTGTGTGCAGCCCTTTACCTCCCAGACCTCCTTCCTTCCCAGCTTCCCAAGGGCACAGAGTGTGGGCAGGGGGCGCACATATGAAGAGATGAGTGCAAAAGCCAAGAGGCTGTTTTTCCGCATTTCTACCCTCTCATAAGAACAAAATGCATATGCACAGCTCTGCGATGTGAGTTGTCTAACCTCAGTGATTCCACAGATGCAGGAAATGCTCTTGTATTTGGTGTTCAAATATAAAGATGAACAATAAGATTCACAGTAATGACTTAAAATTGTATTTTTCCTCTTCTTAGAACGCAACTAAGAATTAAATACCAAAAACATCATGACAAGTGGAGGCAGAGACCATGGGAAAAAGAAAGAAGCTTATATTTCTGTACTTTGAACAACAATTTTTTCCCTTGCCTTTTGAGCAAGGGGTCTTGCATTTCCCTTTTTCACTGGCCCCTACAGGTATACGCAACCCTGCCCCACACCCTGCTCTCTCATCTGTGGTCCTGAGCAGCCCCTGGGGGGAGCACTGGCTTTTTGTGCTCTCGGGGAAGGAGGGCCCCATGCCAGTGAGCTAACTTCCTTTCCTAATGAAAACTCTCATTTTTTAAACCAGACAATAACAGAAGCCAACCGGTTCAAGGCCTTCCCCCGCCCTCCAGCTTATGTAAATTTTTCAGGTGTTATTTTTCCATGCCTCTGGGAAGTCCAAAGACCCAACACACTTTTGCATAAACATAAATGATATATTTATCTTGGGGTTCCTCTTTCTGAAACTCTTGAACTGACATTTGGCTGGGGGCTGTTTTATATTTTATCTCCAGTTCACACTCAGCCTTTTGGATTTTATTAAATATAATAAGCAAGAAACGGGGATGGAGCTCACATGAGCTGAAGGCCGATGGTGTGCCCTGCGGGGTCATCAGATACGTGGTTGGAAGGGGCATAGAGATCATCTAGGTCAACTTTCTACCTAGACTCAAGTGGAAAGGCAAAGAATTGTCAAAAGCACTCAAAATTCTTTAAAAAAAAAATAGGCTGGGGGAGAGAAAACCGATGTGAATCTCCAAGTTTCTAGAAGTTTTGGGGGGGAACATTAAATCCTGGCCCATGAAGTGCGACATGGAGGGGAACCAGGGAGGATGGTGTGCAGAGCAGGCTGACCCATCAGTGGCATGGTTGCCCCGGCTCCCCTGGTTGCAGCAGCTCTCTGGTAGCCACAGAGGCCCCTTGATGGGGGAGTCAGCTGTCAGGGAGGGGGGCTGCTCTCCTGCCCACCTGCTGGCTATTGCTCCTGGAGGCTCGGCCCTAGAGGCACACACTCCTGCCTTCCCCTAATGCCCGATATTAAATCCCTCTCCTCATAAAGCAGCTGCAGTGGATTCTGTTGTCTGCCGCCGAACCCTGGCTGATGTAGCAATGAGCACAAAATATGGGGTGGCGAAGACTCACTTGTCCGATTCAGGCCAGGCTTCCAGACGTTTTCAGTGACACAGATATGGCCTGCCTATCTCTTCCCATCCCGTGATCCAAAGTCCTGCTCAGCTGTGGTATTCTGATGACCGTTCTGGCCTTGTTTGCTCTCGTAGGTGCCGTGCCCTCCTGGGGCTCGGCCTCCCCGGACCCGTCGGAATCAAGGAGCCCACTTCCGAAGCAATATCTTCACCTCTGTCCTGGGCGTCTTTCTATGATGCTTTTCAGAGAGGCTTGGATTTTCCTCACGCGCATTTTTCAGCACCATGTGTGCAAAGCCCTGTCCCCTGGGCCCTCTTGGGAGACGCAGTCAGGGTGTACGTGAGGGGTTCGAACACGATAAACCCACTTCCACAGCCTCATCTGCATAAATCCTGAATCCTCGTACTACACTACACCAAGGAATCGCTGTTACCCGAACTGCACGGATCCCGGGCCGCCACGGAGTAACAGTCAAAGTCTGCCCCTCCAAGAGAGCAGCTAATGAGGACCACCATGCACGGAGTGGGAACCCAGACCCTGGCAAGTGCGCCAAATCCCAGTGCCCGAGCCACAGACTAAATTACCCTTCTTGTCCCTGGTTTCCTAGCCTTGGCAAAATATCCAGGTTTGGGCTGTCATACATGAGTGAGGTCTTTTAATTCTTGGGACATGCAATCCCTCCCCTTCAGGGTTTTGAGTGTAATTGGTCCCCCGTGACATGTTGAGCACATCCTTTCACCAGCAGACTGGTGGCTGCTCCCATTCTCTTCAGAGAGAAGCCCAACCCTGGACAGGCCACTGGACATCGGAGGCAACGTATGTCACGTTGGGCTGCCCTGCTCTGACTGCATAACCGGATAAGCCATAAAGCTGCGTCTCTGAGTGGGCCCTGGGCAAGCAAGACGCCTCTCGCTTATTCTGGCTACAGCACGATCAGTGTGTCCCTGGATTTTACGACGCAGGGTACCCGAAGGGTGCAGACGTGTGCAGCAAGCCTCGACGGGGAAGAGCCATCGATGACTTGAGGATTTTGAAGCAAACCTATGGCCTTGGCAAGTAACTACTCTTACTGTTACAGGCGGGTTCCCTGTGACCAGTTGACAAAGGAGGAAAAGACGTCTCTCGTGGTTTAAATATGCCAGCCTCCAGGGAGTCCTGGAAGGAGGCTGAAGGAGAACTCTGCCAGTGGGAGGGCTTCCGGCCGCACACCCTCAGCATGCTTTGCCTGCAAGATGACTTACCCAGAGGCCGGTCTGCTCTAGCCTGTGAGCGGGGGCCGTGTGGTCGCAGGTCAGAAAAGAACACAACAGGATGATCAGGGACAAGCTGTATGGGCGGGCCTGTGGGAATGGGCCCAGAGTAGGAGACCATTTGTGTCCTGTGTGAGCGCTCACCAAGCCTTGCTGCAGGCGGGGGTCTCTATCCTGCCGGGGGCGTCGGTCTCTTCGCCGCGCCCCTGTGCTTGCTTGAGGGTGCACCGCGTATGAAGTGACATTGATGGGGGATGCAGACGTTCTACAGACACCTGCTCGCCAAGGCCAGACTGGCCCCTGGCAGACAAAGGGGCCAAACCTGAGCTTTTGATGGAGTGGAAGACCCCCGTGAGGCCAGCTTGCTATGTGGTGGTAGACTGTTTACATCAGATCCCTTCCATCACAGGGAGGACAGGATTTTTTTCAATGATCATTTATTCTCTAAAAGTATTTATTAAGCACCTACTGTGTGCCAGGCACCATTGTAGGTGATCGGGATCTATCAGTGAGCAAAAAAGACAGAAAGTGTTGTCCCTATGAAACTTACTTTCTGTTACAAGAAGTGTAATAAATAAGTAAATTTTGTAGTATGTTTTGAAGTGATGTGCTATGGGGAAGAAAGTCAAGTGGTGTAGATAAGGAGACTAGCAGTGCTGGAGATGGGGGATAACGGTTTCCAAGATACATGTGATTGCGGGTGGGCCCCAAGGCCTTGATGGACATCTGGGAGGAAGAGCTCCCCACGCAGGCTTTAGGGGGGCGTTTGCCTGGTGCATGCATCGTCTGGAGCTCAGTGATGAGGGGAGAGAAGCAGGAGATGAGGCCCTGGAGGCCCGGCGGGGAGGTCGGTAGAGCGATGTGGGCACGTAAGCGGAGGAGAGAACTCACTGCAAGGGTCTGAGCACGTGACCACGGTGTTAAGAATGGGGGGCACGGAGGGATGACACCAGCAAGGGGGCCTCCACGAGGGTGGGGTGCTGGTGGTCACAGGATGCAACGGTGTCTGGGTATGGATATTTTAGTATTTTATTGTGGAAAACTAAAAACATACAAAAGCAGAAACTAGTGCAAAACCCCCTTCCTCCCACAATGTGCCTGCCACCCAGCTTCAGAAATGGTGCACACACAACCAGCCCCATTTCATCGCACCCACCCTGCTCTTACTGGGTTATTTCAAACAAGGTTATATCATTTAATCCACAAACACCTCAGTAGGAGTTCTTAAAGATGAATACTGTATCTTTAAAATAAAACATAACCATAACACTATCACTTATATCCAAAACATACAATAATTTCTTAACATTAGTGTACAAATTTCCTTTAGAATTTCCTAAGTGGTATTTTTCTTAACTTGGTTTGAGTCAGGATCCGAAGAAGGCTGGCCATCCCTTTGGTTTATGTGTGTCAAGGCTCACTGAGTTTGTAGGGCTTCCCTCTGCTTTCCTTCCCTTCCTCCCTTCCTCCCTCCCCCCTCCCTCCCTCCCTCTACCCTTCCTTCCTTTCTTCCTTCCTTCCTTCCTTCCTTCCTTCCTTCCTTCCTTCCTTCCTTCCTTCTGTCATTGGTTTGGTGAAGAAACCCAGTCATTTGTCCTGTAGACTTTTCCACTGTGTGGATTTTGTTGATTGTAGCCCTGTGGTGCCATCTCATGGTGTAATGTTGTAGTTCCATGTATTTCCTGTAAACTGGTGGTTGCATCTAGAAGCTTGATTGGATTCAGTTTTGATATTTTGGGCATGAATACTTTGTAGGTAACATTAAATACTTCCATCAGGAGGCACATAATATAATTTGGTTTTTGATAGAGCCTAATCAGTAGGTGTCCCATGAAATATCTGGTCAAAATAGTGGTTTGCTGTTTCTTTCGTTCTTTCTTCATTTCTTGGAAGAATTATTTATTCCCACATCAACTATTTGGTGGTGGGGAAATAGCATTTGGAGAATACAACCCGTGGAAATGTGCTCACTGCTGTCGGATTGCTAATTATTTCTAGGCCTTTTCAGTGGACAGACCTAGGAAATAAATATCTTTGTTTTAAAAAACAAGGTTTGACATCAGCTTATGCTGATAACTTCCAACTCAAATTTAGATTTGTATGGCTATCAGTCAACTTTTTAATTCGATTTTTAAAATTTCTTTTCTCTACTGTTAAAAATCTTTGTCTGAAATAACATTAACATATTTGCCTTTTGCTTTTGGAAGCTCAGCCTCGAGCCTGCTTCTCTAGCTCTTCAGATGATTTTGTAAAGTACCTAATATCCTGTTTAAATTCTTTTCTCTGTAAACCACTGGAGTGGATTATTTTGTCTGCAACTGAATCCTGACGGTGTAAACAGTATAAGCTGGAGGGGTGGCTCTGGGTATCGTCTGGGAAGGACCTAGGCACTACTCATGGCTAAGCCAACTGATGCAGATGATCCCCAGTGGGACAGTTGTCGGAGACTCGTTGAGCAGAGACCTGAGTCACTCAGTCGTGTCTATGTGCAAATTCCAATTAACCAAAATTTGTGCTTCTGCTTTCAACAGGAGTACTTCTTCCCCATTTTTCCTTTCCCCTAAATCAGACCCTGGGGAACACATCAGGTTAGGCTCAGAGCAGGTGCGCAGGGTCTTGTCTCACCCGTGCACTCTGGTCACTTGAGCAAGTCTCTCAGTGGCCGCCCCATCACCATTTCAGAGCAGGTGAATTAGTAGTCCCGGATGTGAATGAACATGGGCAAGAAGAACTGGTACATTGGAACCAGTTGGTCACTCCTAGGACCCCGAAGACGGCGCTGAGCTGGGGGTTTTGGATCAGGGACAAGTCATGCGAATTGGACATTCTCATAACTTTCCACGGCGTCTTCATCCTGAGACCTGACCTCTCCAGCTGAGTCCTCTGGGAGCTGTGTCTTCACCGAAGAGTAGACAACTGAGGTGTGCTGGGGTGGAAAGGAGATAGAAGGAGAACTGGAAAGAGAGAGGGAGGATGGGGCTGGAGGTAGTGGTGGGAGAGAAAACAGTCAGGGACTGATACTCACCTTGTCCTCTAGAGATGTTCTGGACGTGCTGGCTGTGGAGGGAAAGGGTCTCACTGAAGTACGGGCAACAGGACCCGTTTAGAACAGGCTGCAAGCTTTTCCTCAGAGGATGGGAGCCACTGAACCTTTTCCACCCGTGGTTATGTTTCCCACACGCCGACCCCCAATGTGTCCTATGGCACATGTGATTTTCTCTTTTACCGTTTCTTAGCCCAATCCTCTGCAAGTTCTTTATAAGCTCCATTGATCTGTAAGGTCCCTCCTTACTACCACACCAAGAAACCTTGCTCCCTTCCTTTACCAGGTATCAACACATAACATGTCTCTGTTTTAACTTTTGCCTCTCTTAACTTAGAGCTCCTCCATCTCACTCTAACCTCAGAGCACCCCCGTGATTGCTCAGCAAGTTCCCATGAGAATGCTTCAGGTGTGTGCCCATGGGAAAACCCTCCCTCACATTAGTGTGTTCTAGTTCTTAGTTTATTTCCATGGTTTTCTAGAGATGGAGCCGCAGTGAGGGTTAGCGGGTGGGATTCGCCAGATCCTACATGTTAGAAATTAAGGGTCTCGGAGAACAGGATGGAAGCATCAGAGCCATTATGGAGACAGAGACCAAAAAAAAGTGCCTCCGGGATAATTGGGGCTTCTCTCTTTATCACCATATTCTTACCATTGACTTTTCAGGGTTATAGATCTTTTTAACGACGTGGTAGAAACTATGTACTCTTTTCCCAGAATGTTAATCATATACATGGAACTTTGCATACAATTTTAGGGGCTTCATGCAAACCTCAAGGAACTGGGGAAGAAATCTTGCCACAGATCATTAATACATGAAGTACCTGAAACAGAACTAGTCCACCAACAGAGTGCTCAGCTTCAATGGTGTTTTGACAAATACATCAAAGAAAGAGTGCAAAGAACAGCAAGTGATCAAGCTAAGTCTATATGATGCTTTCAGTTAACCCAAACAACTTGGAGGCAGTTCTAATTCTACCATTCAAAAGGTCCTGCTTAGTGGGGATGGCTGAGAAAGCAAAGTGACTAACAAAGCAGGTGATCCGGGTTGGTCAAATATAGTGATGGGCTCTATAATCAGCAAATACGGCAAAGACAGAAGACTTGGTCTTAGCTCTGTCTTTTGCAGACTTTGGGATCACTGGGAGCAATGATGTTTGCCATCATTTGTAAAAGAAGTTCAAGATCAGGTTACAGTTGAAATTTCTAAGAGGCACAAAGATATTGGGGATTTTAAATTCCCAAGTGAGGCGCCAAAATTGGAAAAGCAACCTATGAAATGGGAGAACATATTTGCAAACTACATATCTGATAAGGGGTTAATATCCAAAATATATGAGGAACTCATGCAACTAAATAGCCAAAATACTATTACTACTAACTTAATTAAAAAATGGGCAAAGAATAGACATTTCTCCAAAGACTTACTAATGGCCAACAGATATTGAAAAGGTACTCAACATCACTTATCATTAGGGAATACAAACAAAAACTACCATGAGATGTTAACTCACACCTATTAAGATGGCTGTCATTAAAAAGACAAGATGACAAGTGTTGGTAAGGATGTGGAGAAAAGGAAGCCCTCCTGTACTGTTGGTGGGGGTGTAAGGCAGTGCGGCCACTGTGGAAAACCAATATGGAGAATCTTCAAAAAATTAAAAATAGAACTACTGCATGATCCAGCAACCCCACTTCTGGGTATATACCCCAAGGAATTAAAGTCAAGATCTTGAAGAGATATTTGCACCCTGTGTTTGCTGCAGCATTATTCACAGTAGCCAAGACATGGGAACAACCTAAGTGTCCATTAACTGATGAATAGAGAAAGAATATGTGACACACACACACACACACACACACACACACAGACACAGACACACACAGACACACACAGAGTGGAGTATTATTTAGCCTTAAAAAAGAAGGAAATCCTGACATTTTGACAATATGATGGACCTGGAAGATGCTATGCTAAGTAAAATAAGCTGGACACAGAAAGGAAAATACTATATATCCTCACTTTATATTTGGAATCTAAAATAGGCTCATAGAAACAGACACTAGAACAGTGGTAACCAAGGGCTGTGGGGAGGGGGAACGGAAGTAAAGGTCAAAGGATACAAAGTTTGAGCTATGCGGGGTGAACAAGTTCTATAGATCCACTAGAGAGCATCATGCCTACAGCTAATGGTACTGTCTTGTATACTTAAAATTAGCTAAGAGGGTAGATCTTACCTTAAATGTTCTAACCGGGCACACAGATTAAGAGTAATAATGGGGGTGGAAGATAACTTTAGGAATTATCATTAGGAGATGATACATATGCTGATGGTTTCACATCATCCACTTGTATACATTAAATATGTACAGCTTTTTTCCATGTCAAAAAAAGTAGTGAGCTACTTAGAATATGCTAGAACATGGATGAGTTGCAGAACGTTATTATGTTAAGGGACAGAAGCCAGACAAAGAGACTACCTTCCATAGGTTTCCATTTACTTGAAATTGTAGAAAAACAAAGCTCTAGGGACAGAAAGTGGGTCAGTGGTGGTCAGGGTAGAGTTGGAAAAGTTATCTGCAAAGGGGCAGGAAGGGACTTTCTGGGTGTTGGAAACGTTCCACGTCTTGAAGGTGGTGGTGGGTCTGGGACTGGATACATTTGTTAACATTAATTAAATTGTGCATTTTAAATTAGTGAATTATACCGTATGTAGGTTATACCTCAATAAATCTGATTAAAACCATAAATTTGAGTGGAATAGAAACTCGAGGGCATCACACTAAGTACAATTATAAAACTTGTGTTGCACTTATGCGTTAGTATTTGTGTGTGTGCATGTTCACACCGGCTAACAATACAATCTGTATCTCTTCCTGTGGATTACAATAAAAATGTTTGAGAGCCACCAGTCTAGAGGGTTGAGAGCGCTGACTTGCAGCTGGTGGTATTATCAACACATTGCTGAGGCAGCATGTGTCCAGGGACAGATGTGATCCCGCTTGGACACAGGACAAGAGTATAGCCAAGGGGGCCCTGTCTAGCAGGGCCGACGGGTACCAGGGGACGCCAGCAGCAGGAAGCTGGATGTGAGTGATGGGGGAATGAGGCACCAAAGGAGCTGTAGGAAGGAACATCTGACAGGGAGCCTCAGAAGAGAGCGTGCACGCACCTCACACAGGGCCCACTTCTGCACCGGCCAGCCAGGCAGGTGGACGCCAGCTCCCAAGCACCAGCTGGGTGCGTCCTTCACGCTCAGGTTCCCAGCGCCCTCCAGGCCACTGAGGGGTGGCCAGCCACAGAAACAGAGAAGCCAGCTCCATCCTACCCTCCTGCCCCTGCAAGCTCCCATCCTGAAATTGCCTGAACGAGTGGAGGGCTAAGTGTTCTGACAGTGTCCACTTGCTGTCTGTTACCTAAGAGACTGGAGAATGTGTTGAAAAGCCTGTGCTGCCAAAATGTTCATCCGAAGGGCCTGGGCAGATCTCCCACAAAGTAAAGTTTCAAGAAACAGTGGGAAACACAATTTTTGTAATGAAGTCACAGGTCTTACTTGTTCAGTGTATCGGTCACACAGGGTTGTTTATATGGACTAACTGAGCATTTCTCTATGTGTGTATATATATATATATACATTACGTGAACATGTATCTATAAATGTTCTCACCGCATAGTAGGTGGCTTGTAAACCTCATCACTTGACTACTTAATTCATTACTTAAAAGAAATTTTCTGGGGCACCTGGGTGGCTCAGTCGGTTAAGCGTCTGCCTTCAGCTCAGGTTATGATCCCAGGGTCCTGGGATCGAACCCCGCATCCGGCTCCCTGCTCGGCAGGGAGTCTGCTTGTCCCTCTGCCCCTCCCCGCTCCTGCTCATGTGTGTTCTCTCTGTTAAATAAATAAATAAATCTTAAAAAAATTTCAAACATACACCTTCACGATCATGATATCGATTAGAAGGATGTTCAATTTCTCTTCTGATCATCAGCAAAGATATATGATGCATTTTTAAGTGTCTTTTTTCTGTCTTTAGAATCTAAGCACCACTGTAGGGGTTTTTATCTGCCTTGTTTGCTGACTGACTCCTTGTACATTCCGCAGTACCTAGCACCTAGCTTATGTTGAACGAAGGAATATAGTTTGCAGCCAGAATCTTCCCCAGAGACTTACCAGCCGCTTCTTGTCGCAGCTGAATAAACTGGATCTCAGAATACACCAAGCCTCCCTGTCCGGAGTGCCCTGCAAAGGAGAAACAGCGCTTTCTAGGCTGCCCCCCACCCCAGAAGTATGCGCTACACAGGCCTCTTCTAAAGCTCGTCCCCACGCTTCTTGGACGTAGGATGAGGCGGTGCTTTCCTGCGGGTCTGGGTTTGGGACACCGTAAGGAGACCAGGCCTCCCCCAGGCCTCAGGCACATTATCTCTCCCTGGCTCCAGCGGGAGCGGCTTCCCCGCGGGGCTCCTCACCGTTGTCATATAACCGCTGCAGTTCCACAGGAGCAGGGCACCCTGCACGGAGTGCCTTTCCTCGGTCTGCGGCGGGAGGGCTCCTGCGAGACACGTAACCGCATGATCATCCCTGGAACGTCATACGATGCACGGCAGCGGGATGGCCAGAGAGGGAGGGGCACGGAGGGGGGTAGCCAGCGGAAAGCAGGGGACCCGGGACCCAGAGAGGGAGGGGCATAGCGGGGTTGGGAGAGCTGGACGGGAGGGGTCAGCAGATGGCAGGGGACCGGGACCGGGAATGGTTTAACTGGACGTTCAGTAGGTCCATATAGAGCCCGATTGTTCTTTTGAGAGCAACCGGAGGACCGGTATGGCGGGCTGCTGGGAACAGGCTGACCACTCTCTGACAGCTTATTAACAACCAGCTCAGAGACAGAGCGACCACTCTCAATTGGTTAAAATCCTCGCCTTATCCCCAGAGGTGGTGACTCCATGTCTTCACACTGTCCCGCCTGGACAAGTCAGGAAGGAACTGGACACAGTCTGTGCCCCAAGTCACTGGCTACCACCCAAGCCTGAGACATGCAGGACCATGTTTTCCAAACCAAAGTTAAAGATACAGAGTCTGAGGAGCATATGTGCATGTGTGGGACAAGAGAAAATGATTCGAAACCAAGACTTCCCCGGAAAATCTGGCACAGTCACTGGGCACATATTTACAGCCACGCATCGTCTGACTAGGGTGTCATCTGCGCCAGAAATATTGTGTGCCCCCCTAGAAGATCTGTCATCTTTGGTATCACCCATTTGGATGAGTGGATAAATTTCACATAAATGGATCCAAATACCTGCAAAATCCACGATAGGAACTATTAGAAGGTTCTAGAAGTTGTGATTTGGGTCATTTCAAGGGATGTGAAAATGCGGGCACCTAGCCACAGGGACAGAGAGACAGGACTTGACCTAATTGTGTGAACCCACAGTTCTGCATATTCTGTTCTTGGAAGACCCGAAGGCTGAGGCCTCACCTGGCTGTGTTTCTCAGAAAACCATCTCCTGCAAAACAAAGCAAAGGCACGTTCGTGTCAGCAGAGGGAGCTCATTCTCAAACAGTTCACACACACAAACTGCCTTAGAGAGGTCATCAGAAAAAGTCAATTCAAACATGCACCCTGTCCTCGATTTTTAGGGAAATGATCTGGAAGAGGATGGAACAAAGTGCATAACTTGCTGGGAACAGGGCTGCATATTCCTGGGTCAAACATGCAATTACTTGAGACTTGATTAAGGTCGAAGGCTGTGAGGATACACCTCAAGAAACACTAAATAGGACCAAATAGTCTGGCAGGCAGAGCAGTGCGGGGCTGCAGGCGGACTTTGAGGAGCATCCATGGTCATGCCCGGAGGAGCCTTGGGCTCCCACTCCAGCTCCAGCTCGCCGAGAAGGCTTGTCATCCAAAGCGGCCCATGCAGGGCACAGGGATGGTGCTGAGAACAACGTGATGGGTTGAACAGAACTGATTTAAACCAAGAGACAGAGTTGGGGGGTGTGGGTAATTATTCTAGAGCCAGAACAGCGTCTGTGCCCATCTCCCACACGAGGCTCTCTAGCACCTGAAACTAGTCTGAGCTGGGCCAAGGCAAGAAGCCTCTGGAAGAGCGACTCTCCCCCAGGTAAGGGAGGAGCTGGTGGCCTGGCCTAGGGGGACCCCTGCTCTTGGAGCGCAGGATGGAGGGTTCAGGCTTTGGCACAGGGAAGTCTCCGAGGAGGAGGAAGGATGCGGATTAACCAGCTCCCATTCTCAGAGCCCTGTGACATATTGTGACTGCCCGTTTATGGGGGATTTAGGATGGGCTGAAGTGTGTAGTTGACGAGCCTGTATGAGCCAAAAAACTGCCCAGAGAAACAGTTTGGATTAAGTTTTTGAAACTTTACATAAAAAATTGTACTTCCTTCCTTAGTGAACCCAACTAGTACAAGCAACCCTCAACCACAGTATCTGTTCAGCTCCCCTCCGTGAGCGGTGTAGGTCTGTGGGTGTTGGGCTGGTAAGAGGGAGAATGGTGGGTGTGCTGGTGCCCGAGGTGCTTGGCAGGGACAGGGCATGGCCTCTAGCAGAGGGTAAGAGACAGCACAAACCTGACTTCCTCTGGTGCCGGTGGCAAATCCACAGGGCCACCGCCAGGAGAAGAATGCTGAGCAGCCCCCCAGTGGCTCCTGCTGCAACAAGGCCGCTTCTGTTCCCCGGAGTGCCTGAGGGGGAAGAGCCTGCGTGAGCCCCGGGGTTAGGGCCATGATGCCCTGGAACCTTTCCTCAATGGGGGCTGGGGTCCTGAACCCTGGCGGGGGAGGGAGGAATCTAACAGACAAGGGCGAGGCCAGGGCTGGTGCACACAGGAGGCAGACTTCCACTCTGGGCGGCTGGCCTGAGCCTGAGCAGCAGGACGGGACTCTGTGCTCTGGTAGGAGGTGCAGGCTGAGGGTCTGGGGGACGGGGCGTGGCAGAAGAGGAGAATGCAGCCAGCTCTCTCCACCGACCCATCGACATTGGTTCAAAAATTAGCATTTGAGGGGAATCTCTCTCTTTCTCTGTATGTCCCATCTTCTAGAAATCTGGCCTTGGGAATTTCCCCAGGCCACCTGGGAAGGTGTGACCTGACACTGCTGTGTCAGCCCTTCAGTAGGACCAGCACTCCCCAATGGGCACTCGTGGACCAGGAACACCATTACAAAACCACAGTGGGGCACCACAGGGAAACAGCACTGTCTCCATCCTCACAGAAGCTCCAAAGGGGAGGAGAGAAGCTGGTGGGAGCAAAACCTCAGCTGTTGGGGTTTCTGATTTTTCCGTTGGGTTCATTCTCCTATCTTCTCATTCAAGAGACTTCATCTGGCAGATTTGTTCATTCATTGAGCAGACATTTACTGAGTCCTGCCATGTGCCAGGCCTTGAGGACAGAGCAGTGAACAGGACAGTGAGGTCCCTGCCCTCTAGGAGGAGTTTATAGCCCAGGGAGGGGAGGCAGACAATAACACATAGATACATTTGTGAAAAAGCAAATGTGGAATAAGAGGGGCAAAGAGTGGGGGGCGGGTAGAGGTGCTTTGCATGCAGATCCTTGGTCCCCAGGTAAACCAAGTTCAGACTTTGGATACCAGTACCCCAGAATTACACGGAGAATATTCACATATCAGAACGACAGCACCACGGACGGTAATTCCTGGTTATGGCATGGTGTTCTGCATCTATGATTCCTGCCACAAAGCAGACACTCGGTACACATGGCCACTGGCCATTGGTGATATTTGTCTCCATGCTTTCCCTTCCTGACAAAATCAACAAACCCGATGTCTGACCTATGAGTGGTTCTGCTGGCAGATAGCAGTTCATGGGGGTCATGAGCCCAGCCTCCCCACCATGACGGCTAAACCAGAGGAGTGGAGTGCCGGGGAGAGATCCACGGGCAGAGCAGGTTGGCTGCTGTGTCCTAGAGTGAATCTTCCCGATTGCCTGCTGGGGCAACCACCTGTGCAAAAACAGAGTCAGCCATCTGCTGGGTACCTGGGGTTCCAGACCTAATGAGCAGAGGGCAAATCTTTCCCCTTCCTGGTAACTCTATCTCCTAGAAGAAATGTCTACTCTGGGAGGAGTTGAAATTTGTCTTAGTTCGAAAGGCACAGAACAATTATGCACCAACACATAAGAGAGTCTAGAGGAAATGGGTACATTCCTAAAAGCACACAACCAGCCAGGACTGAATCATGAAGATCAGACAGACCAGTGATGAGTAGGAGATTGACTCAGTAATAAACCCTCCCACCAAAGAAAGCCCAGGCCAGATGGTGTCACTGGTGGGTTCTACCAAACACTTAAAGAAGAGTTAACTCCAAACCCCTCAAAGTCTTCCACAAAACCGAAGAGGTGTGAACATTTCCAAACTCATTTTATGAGGCCGGCATCACCCTGACACCAAAGTCAGATAAGGACACAATGAGAAAAGTACAGACCAATATGGCTGATGAATATAGAAGCAAAGATTTCCAAAGAAGATATATGAGTAGCCAATGGGCACATGACCAGGGGCTCAACATCACTGATCATCAGGGAAATTCAAATCAAAACCACAGTGAGATATCAGCTCACACCTGTTAGAACGGCCATTATCAAAATGACAAGGGGTAACAAGTGTTAGTGAGGACTTGGAGAAAAGGAGCCGCTCGTGCACTGTTGGTGAGAAGGTAAGCTGGTGCAGCCACTGTGGAAAACAAGTTAGAGGCTCCTCACACATATAGAAATAGAACTTCTATATGATCCAGCAATCTCACTTCTGGAGATGTATTTGAAGAACACGACATCACTATCTGGAAGAGACATCTGCCTCCCCATGTTCACCGCAGCACTGTTCACAGTAGCCAAGACACAGAAACAATCTAAGTGTCCATTAATGGACAAATGGATCAGGAAAATACGGTACACATCATCCTGTATATATACAATGGGATATTACCCAGCTGTGAAAACGATAGCCTGTCATTTGCAACAACATGAACGAAACTTGAGAACATCATGCTCAGTGAAATCAGTCAGACAGAAAGACAAACACTGTAAGAGTTCACTTAGATGTGGAACCTAAAAACACCGAAGTCATAGAAACAGAACGACTGGTGATTGCCAGGGGCTTTGGGGGGTGAGGGAAATGGGGGGACGTTTGTCAAAGGTCATAAACTTCCAGTTATAAGAGGAGTAAGTTCTGGGGACATAATGCACAATGTGGTGACTAGTTAACAACACTGTATCATACCACCTACATCCTCACTACATGCACATGCACACATGCATGCACACACCCACGCACGATAATTATCTGCGGTGACAGAGGGGTTAAATAACCCTATTGCTGTAATCATTTCTCACAATATACCTCGAGCAAATTACTAAGTTGTATACCCTGAATTTATACAATGTTATATGTCAATTATATCTCAACGAAAGTGGGAGATAAGAGAATAGTGTAGACTCTGTAACTAGTTTGGCAGGTTAAAATCCCAGCTCCTCCACGTCCTAGCTGTGTGGCCAGGGAAAAGTATTTAATCCCCCTGTGCCTCAGTTTTCTTATCTGTAACATGGGGAGGATGGTAACCAAGTATCACTGTGGGTGTTGGATTCAATGAGTTAATGGATGTCAAGTGCTGTGAAACATCCCTGGCTCGTGGTGCGTGCTGTTTCTATGTATTAGTTCTTCTCTGGTGCCCCTCACACTGCGCCTAGGCTCTCGGGAACTTCATGCTCCCCTCCAATCAGCCAGGGGACACCCCCACACGTTAGCCTGCACCCGCACAGCACCACCCTGGCCAACGTTGACCCATTCTATGGACCGAATTGTGTCTACTTCCAAATTCATGTGCTGACGCAGCTCTAACCCCCAGGGTGCTGGTTTTGAGGACGGGGCCTTTGGGAGGTCAGGTTTAGATGAGGTTGGGGGGGTGGGCCCTCCTGATGGGATTAGTGTCCTTACAAGAAGAGACACCAGAGACACCTCTCTCTCTCTCACCCCCTTTGCTGTGTGAGGACACACCTGCTCCAAGAAGGCAGCTGTCTGCAAGAAAGAGGGCTCTCCCCCAGAACCTGACCACACTGGTACCCTGATCTCAGACTTCCGGCCTCCAGGGCTGTGAGAAATGAATTTCTGTTGTTAAAACTGCATGAGCTAAGACAGCCCTCGTTAGCCTGGTGCTCCGGGCTACTGCAGAGTTTCTCTGCTGCTAGAAATTCTCCCATTTCTGAGCCCAGAGATTTTGCATATGGTCCACGAAAGAAAAGGTCTAGTAAGAAATTCCTGCTCTGCCATATGTCACCTGAATCCTTGACATCTGCTTACTCTCTGAGATCACCTGTTTCCTTAACAGAGGACGATGTCTGCCTTGCAGACTCATGCAAGCCAGCCCAGTGCCATGTGTGAGCAGCCAGGTGGCTGCCCGGAGCTCAGGAGGTGGACGCATTCTACTGACCTTAATTCCAAGGGGAGGATGAACACCTTCACCCAGGTGTGCATTTCCAGCAGACTCCTCACTGCCCTCTTCAGGGAGTGTAGCCTTGGGCTCCCCAAGGACACTGTTCAGTACAAGAGTCTTCCTGGATAAGCAGCCCTCCAGCCTGCAGAGCCCCTCTGGGTTTCCGGGCCGGCAGATCTTTGGGGGGTGGGGGAAGGGTGCCCCTTGGCAGCTTGTTGCTCTGCTGACCTCTTCTCCCTCTTGAAATGCCATCCACACGACTACCAGGCTCAGTCTCTGCCCATCTGTGCTGGGGATTGCACCCACTCTTACTCTTCACTGAGAAATTTCCAGAGTGAGAGGCACATAGTCCCGTGGCATCCGCTGGTGGGAAGACCTGCCTGGGGAGGGCCCCTTGGTCACAGGACCCGCCTCGAGGGAGCTGAGGGGAAAACTGTAGAGCAGCTGGGCCGTCCCTGTAGCGGCCCCTTCCCACAGCTGCTGCCCCAACTGTTCAGGGTCACAGCTCGGTCAGGGCTCAGCGCTCACAGAGACTGCACGGTTCTCTGCCTGCTTAGCATGGCAGGAGGACAGCAGGCACTGGCCTGTGGGCTCCTTCTTCGGAGGACTGACAATGCCCTCTGTGTCTCTGAGCTAAGTGATTGTGTGGAGGTATACACTTTGTGGCCTTGTGCACATTACCAAACCTTTCTGAGCTTCATACTCCTTTTCTGTAGAATGGAGATACTGATATCTTGGTCTTCTGGGATTGTTACTATGGTCAGTAAAATAACGTGTGTAAAATTCATTTATTCTGTAGATATTTACTGAGTGCCTAACATGGGCTAAGCCCTAGTCCAGGCACCGGGGATACAATAGTGGTCAGAATAAAGAGCTGCCGGTCACTGGAGCAAGACGGCGGAGGAGTAGGAGACCTAGATTTCGTCTGGTCTCAGGAATTCAGCTGAATAGGGATCAAACCATTCTGAGCACCTACGAACTCAACAGGAGATCGAACAGGAGAGTAGCAACAACTCTCTGAACAGAGAAGCGACCACTTACTGGAAGGTAGGGCGTGCGGAGAGGTGAATCCGAGGCGATATTCGGGAGGACAGACGGTGGGGGAGGGGGCCTCCGTCGGCCGCTTCTGGCAAGTGCTAGAGCCGCGGAGCACAAAATCCGACCTTTTAGAAGTCGGCTCCGCGGAGGGACGTCACTGCAGTGGCTAAGCGGGGGGTGGAATCCTCCCGGGACAGTGTGGT